GGGGTCGCGACCCACAGGTTGAGAACCGCTGGTCCAACCCGTGTCAAGATGCAGCCAGGCAATAGCGATGTTGTCACACTCACCGATAAAGATAGGTTGAGGAAGACCTGCTCAGTCCCGGAACCGGAGCGCCCCAACTGGTAGAGTGCCTCAGCCACGGCCTCCTCTCTCAGGACCCCATCAAACTCACCCTGCAAAAAAAAAAAAATCGGGAGAGGGGGACAAAGAGGACTTCCATTACAAAGACACAAGCCATCCGTCTAATCTGGCACTTATTCAGTATGTGATATATCTAGGAGCTGAGCACTCCAAGATTTACCAGTCCCCCCCAAAATTCTGTGTGGAAGACACAGATTACAGTTGTTTACACCAATATCTATCAAGTCATTGTTTTCACGGCTGCTTAATTTTCAGGTGGTCACTGGCATTAGGTATGCCAAGTGGAATGAGCACCATAGGCACACCAATATTAGTGGTGACAGTTACATTGATGGAGCACTGTGCCAAGAGCTCTCGATGGATCAACTCATTTAATCCTCCTGACCACCCCCAGGTAGGTACGCTTAGCTCCATTTCACAGATGAAGAAGGCTTACGGAGGTTAATTTGCCCGAAACTGCATAGCTAGTTTGTGATGGAGCCAAAACACAAACCCACATCTTTCCAACCCCAGGGCCATTCTCACTGGTACATCTGACTGCCTGCCCACCCCCTGAAGGCCGGTTACATCAAATTAAGGCCATGACTTTGCTAAATCTGGTATTCTTGCTGGAGAAAACAGGTCTTCTGTCAGCTTCCTATTGGCTAATTTTGCTGGATTCATACAGTTTGCCAGATTTATTAAAAGGGTAGTAATCATTTCCATAAAGGGGTCTGTAGACATCCAGGGGCCAGTGGTGGCCCAACGTGCTCTTTCCTCAGTAGTGACAGAAAGAAGAGATAACAGGTGGTCAGCGCTGCCTTCAACTCTGTAATGATCCGCGCATTATCACTAGCATCAGCACGAGGACACATCGTACAGAAATCACATCAGTCAGAACCAAATGACTAAGCATAACGGGCATACAGACTGTGACGGCAAAATGTCTTTCCAGGTTTTCCACGTTAATCCTGGTACTGAGGACATAAGTACGTCGGCTGGTGCTATTGTAAGGATTTTCTTTCTCCCAAATTTGCACTAACCCAGGGAAGCAAGTATCGCTCACACGGAGATAGCCCACAGGCTCCGGGGCTGGGCAGGCTTGGTTAAACCCTGGATCTGCCATTGTGGATATATGACTTCAGGCAGATAAAGTTTTCTCTCAGCCTCACATTCTTCATCTATAAATAAGAAACATTATTACCTTCTCTTAATGTTTTGGGGAGAATGGCTAGAATATAGCAAGTGTTTCCAATAAATGACAGTTGTTACTACTAATCGATGCAGTCAGAAATCCCACATTGGCATGTTTCCTTCATCCATGCCAATCAGCCTGTGCACAGAATGGGGAAAGGCATTTACTTTTCCAAATAAAGTTCTAATTTCTTATAAAAGGCCTGGGAAGGGATCAAGGTGGGCGTGTTACCTTCCTTCCAAAACTTTCCACCTAAACCTCTGAAGTTTACCTGACCCAGCCCCTCCACTTCCTGGCTAAGAGAAGATGTTGTACCTCTTACTTACGGGAGGTGAATGTCTGTAGCCACTGACATGGAGACCTGCCATACTCTCAGCATTTTCCCAGGACCCCCAGGCAAGACTCCCCAGCAACGCCCTCACACCTCCTTTGAGGTTCCTGCCATTGGTCAGGAGCACGCCTTTGCCTTCTGGTCTTTGGTCATTTTCAGTCCTTTTATGCCCTGTCTCTATCTTGGGTGGCATCAGAGTCCCCAAGGATGGCCATTCAACACGCCTTGGACTCTGAGCACATGCACACACACACATTTCTTTGCTTTCTCAACTTCAGACACCCTAAAATTGATCTCCTCCCAACCTCAGGCACTCACTCCCAGGGCCATGCCCTGGCCTGGTCACCAGCCTAAACTGCTCCACCCTAGACACCTCAAACCCAGCATTCCATTACTCCCTGATCCTACAGGTGCCTACCTTCAACCTTTCCAACACCCACTGGACTTGTTCTTGGTTCACAACACGATCTCCAGTCCGTTCGTCCTTCCCTTCTCAGGGTCTACCTGCCCCCTCCCGACTGTGCTTCTTCCCCTACTGGGTATCCCATGAGCAGTTTCAATGTCTCTACTCCCAACTCTCTGACTCCTGGCCCCCTGCTTGCAATTGCCACATACATACCCACGCCTGGAGCAAGTTCACAATTGAGCACTGTGCAGGGATTGTGTCATGCTCATCACATGCCAGACAAGGACACAAGCAATTTCAGGACTTGGATAAATATGACACTAGAGGTAAACAGGGCGCCCCTTTTTGTCGGGTCTAGTGGGGAGCAGGAGAGTAGCAAAGGCTTCCTTGGGGAGAGAGCAATTAAGTTGAGACCCAAAGTTGTGAGTTGTTCTGGAAAAGGGGCAGAAGGGGCAGAAAAGAGGGCCAAGAAGGATAGTGCAGGCAGAAAGGGAAGCATGGACATCTCTATGGCAAAGGCGCACACGGCCCATTGGGGAAACTACAAAGAGTTCCACAGCTGAAGCATAAGGTGGGGAGGGGGCAGTTCAGTGCCTGGTACAAACGTAGGTTGAAGAATTAACGAGCCCACTCTCCCCTTGGTCTGCTGAGAGGGCTGGGAAAGGCCCCACCACCATGCACTCTGGTGCCGCTCTACAGCCAACTTGTGGCTGGGCCTCAGGGCTGTTAGCCGTCTCCCACTCTTTATCAGCTGCCTTTCAGCTCCCCACCTTGACTGTGCAGAGTCCACCCTCTCCTCAAGCTGCCCAGTGCCGCCACTCCTTCGGCAAATTAGAAACAACCAGACACGAACGCCCTCAATGTTCTGCACCTGCCCTGATGCTGCTCACTTGGGTCTCAGATAAGCCTGCTCCTTCTCCACATTCAGGGTCCCAATCCCTCTGTTTCCTCAGGGACTTGGCTCAGGGACCATCCACTTTGCCCTCTTTTGCCTGCGATTTCACCCAGTCACTCTCCACTGTCCCTCTCCAGCTATACAAGTTGTGAGTCTCTTCTGTCCTAAGAGGGCTCCCTTCAGTCCTGCTTATGTTCCGTTATCTGGAGCTATCGTCTCCCTTGATCACCAAGCTCCTCCAGGGTTGCATTTTTATCCTTCAGCTCCTCTTCCTCCCCTCCAATTCGCTCTTCAGCTCACTACGGTTGGGCTCTGCCTTCACCACATCACAAAAGCACATGGGCCTCAGGTAGGCACAGCTAAGAAGCACTTTTTAGGCCTCTTCCCACTTAACATAATGGCAGCAACAATATTCCCATTCCTCAAGACTCTTCCTTGCCTTGGCTTCCCTATCACACAGCCCACCCTCCCTCCCTCCCTCCCTTCCTTCCATTTGTATTGATTTCAGAGAGAGGAAGGGAGAGGGAGAGAGAGAAACATCAATGATGAGAGGGAATCATTGAGTGGCTGCCTCCTGCACGCCCCCTACTGGGGATCAAGCCCACAACCCTGACCTCCTGGTTCATGGGTGGATGCTCAACCACTGAGCCTCACTGGCCGGGCACACACAGCTCTTCTTTCCAGTTTCCTTCCCTAAACCCTCCTCATCTGCCGGCTACTTAAATAACTGTACCCCAGGGCTCTATGCTTGGCCGTCCTCTCCTCTTCCTTCCTGGCTGATCACACAGACTCCAATGCAGATGATTCCTGGTCTTCTACTCCAAGTCCGTGTCCCTGATTCCAGTCATATGACTAGTATATCCAACTCCTTACTACACAGCTCTATCTGTTCCTGTTTCTTACTGTGGTTAATGGCCTTAACATCCCCACCCCCATCCCAGACCATGCCATAGACCTAGCAGGCATCCTAGGCTTATTATATTCAATCAGTAACTTTCCCATCTCAAAAATGTTACACGTTTTCATCTTTACTTTCCTTTCCATTTCCACTTCCACTGCCTGAATGCAGCCTCTTGTCTCTCCTCCATAGATGTTACTGGAGTCTTCTCACCGACCTCCCTGCTTCTAAACGAATCCCACTCGGCCATCAGAGCTCTCCACAACCTGGCCAGCACCTCAGCCGCCTGTTCTGCTCTCACCTATCATCCATCAATAGGAAAAGCTGCCATCTGCCTGCCCACACACCACCTCTCCACCCAGACAAGGGTCTACTTTCCTTAAAGTCTCCCATGATCCCCACAACCCAGCTGTCATCTGTACGCAGCAGAGTACATAATGCCTCACATAATGCATAGGTATGATTTACTCACATTCTTATCTCACCTTGAGAGGGACCATGTATGTCCTCAATCATGTTCTCACCATCTTCTATCATTACTGTTGCTATTAGTATTACATCTAAAATTTTTGAGAGCCTACTCTGTATCAGACACTATATTAAGGACTTCAACATAGTTTCCCATTAAATTTGAGGTTCATAACAATCCAGGAGTAGGCATTGTTACCTACAGTAGTCACTGGAAAAGAGTGGTTTTCATGCATCAGACACATATAATGGGCCCAGACTCTTCTTTTGCCCCTTATAGTCAAAGAGCGCTTCCTACATAGCAATCATTCAATTAATGTTTGTTCAATGAAGTCTACATTAATTAAATCACTTAATGGGCTGTAGTTAGCACATAAAAACATGCAAGTATTATTTGTGTTAGTAACAGTATAAGTAATATAGTATACTAAGTATTTTACATGTGGAATCTCATTTAATTCTCACAATTCTCACAATTCTCCTTTGAAGTAGGTTTTATTATAATTCACATATTCCAGATGAGACATAGAAAGGTAAAGTAACTTGCTCAAAATCTCACAGCTAACAAAAGGCTTTACAGGAACCAACCACAGTATTCTGAACAGCTGGTCTGCACTATCTCCATCAAGTCCATGAGGGCTTCGGAGGTTTGAGGCTAATTGCATTACAGGCACTCAGTAATCACTGTGACCACCGTGGCATTACAAATCTTAACTAGGCTAAGACATGGAAGATAAATCACTAAACATAAAAGTTCAAATAAGTCCTTTTAAGCTTGACAGTTCAGTATATTAAAACTTATGAGACACTATAAAAAGCTAACATATAATGTGAAAACACAAAGTAAATATTAATATTTAGAATGTAAATGGAAGAACTAATAAACTTTTCCCACATACATCCTATAAGCCAAAAAGGAATAACTAGTTCAAGTCATCCCCTTCTCTGGTTTGTTAATGGCATACTGAAGATGGATTAACAATGGTACTAATGAGCCTCATAGCATAAGAGCATGTGTTAATTAGAATAATAAAATGAACTGGTGATTCATTTGTGAATTCCTCTGGGGTGGAAGCTGGTGGAAACCATACAAACATCTCGAAATTGTAAAAACACTGTAACCATTTTGCAATAGTCACTGTTAAAGGTTGCAAAGTAAATAAAAAGATGAACAAATAAGGAATAATTTCCTATAATCTATTTTAAGCAAAACTAATGTGTAACTAGTCCCTGTAAAAGGAGGTAGAAGAACAGGAAAGACAAAATGGAGGTGGAAAAAATGAGCCAAATGTTGAGAGTGACCAAAAGGACATTACAAAGGAAGGGAACCCAAGTGGGGTAAAGTGTAAGTGGTTAGTGGTAGCATCAGAGTAACAGAAGACAATGCAAGTTACTGAGGGGAAAATAAGAAGAGATAAGATTAATGAAAAGAGTTTGGGAAACAGAACGGGCATGCAAAGAGAAGCATGTTTGGCTTCAAGGAGGAAAGGTGACTAGGGAAAGGTGTGAAGAGGGGAAGACAGAAGAATATCACAGAATGGGGACATTGGAATCATTCTATTCTCTGCATCATACCAGTATCTATTTCTGAAAAGAATTTGAGGCAATTTATACTACAAAGGAAGAGAAAAGAGGAGAGAAAAACCTATCTCAAGAAAAACGATTGAAAGTAAGAAAAATATTGATATGAGTTTCCTGGCAGCAGGACAAAGAGGAGAACATAGCAGTTCTTTGAAAAGAAGCCAGTCAATTTGTATTTTTTTAAGAAAACAAATAACATATTAGAAGCCAAGAGAAGGAAGTGATGTGATGAGAAGTAGAAAGGGACAGAAGACAAGTAATGGGCTAAGAAGGAAGCAGGATGATAAGTGTAAGAAAGGAGTGGATTTGAGTGGTGTTTAGAATAGGTATCTATTAATGTGAATTTGTATAATGTACAAGGCAAAGCCACCACCCCAGGCAATGTCAATGGGAATGTTGGGAACCATCTCTACATCCTAAAACACTCCCAAAGTGAGGTGTGTGTGTGTGTGTGTGTGTGTGTTGCTTGATAATGTGTCAGATACACCTGGCAGAAGTAATATATTAAACTTGTAAGTCACGTAGTGTTTGAGGAAGCACTTCTCAAATTATTTCAAATAAATAAATAAACAAACAAACAAACAAACCCCTAGTAGGGCAAAGACGACGAAGGGACTAGAAGTGGGGGAGAGCATTGGAGTACTTCAAATTCCCGGGGAAAGGGTGCAGGGGATGTCAAGGCCGAACTCTACGTATTCACAAGCTTGTCAAGGTATAATTTTAACAGAGTTGAAGTCTTAAGTCCCATATAAATAGCAATTTTTCATAACGACGCTGCATAATTTGACTCTTAAGAAACCAAGTGTGCTAATGAAACTAACGGAGAAACTGGGAAATATTTCCATAAGGGGTGGGTGATAACTGAAACGGGAAGAAGACAGGGGAAGCCTCGAAGTGGTCAGGACTAACGAGGGGCGCGCGGGGAGCTGCCGCAGAAGCAGCAGGTCCCACGGCTGGAGGAAGGAGAGAGGTGGTGAGCGGTGGGGGGAAGGCACACCTCCAAATTCAGCAGCTCGGACTCTGAGGACGCCTCGGAATCCATTCGCTCCTCGTTCACGCCCACGCCCTCGCCCTCGCCCTCGGATTCCTCCAGCTCTGGGTCCGACTCCGGATAGCGGTGAATGATGTGCTGGAGCAGGAAGGAGGAGGTGGAGGCTTTGTAAGAATTCATCAGCCTCTGCGCCGTGGGAAATGAAGACCAGAGTTTTTTTTCTGGGCGAACCACTGCCGGCGGGGCTCCACCTCTTGAACCGCTCGAGCCTCCTGGGAGAGAGGTAGCTTTCCTTCTCTGGGGATCTCCCCCGGAGGTCGCCATCTTGTTTACCTGGGTTGCCTAAGAGACTGACACTGGGGTAGGGGCACCGCAAGGGATTCTGGGGGCTGTAGTCTTCCCCCATCCAGAGTCCTAGCTTTGAGTCAGCGCCACAGGTGGCACGCGCCTTTCTTTTCTTTTGGTCTGCCCCGTGGTCGTTTTCTTCTCTTCTTTCTCCCCCTCTTCCCCCCCCCCCCCCGCTTTTAGTGCATTCAGTCTCTGGCTTTGTTTCTTTTTGTTTGTCTTTCTCGTTTTCACCTCTTTTTCACACACCCCTTTTCTTTGTGTCCAACTGTTTTCTCTGGACCTGGAAACCCCTCTTAAAGATTTTTCATCCCACCGTAAGATCACCTGTGACCCCCATCCTGTTTCATCCACGAAGGCTCTTTTCGCAGAGTCGAACTTTGGAAATGTTAGATGTTTCTCTAACACCCTCTGTCGAAAAGCTAATAATGCTGAAATTTTACACTATGCAGAGCATGGTGTTAGGAGATGGGGTCTGCATAAATGAAATAAAAGGCGTGGCTTCCAACCTTATGGTTTAATTGGAGATAATAAAGAGAAACTAGCAGACAACAACTGAAGCTGATTTGCAATTAAATTCATTTTTTTCTCGGACACGATAAGCCATGTCCTTGGGGAGAAAAATAACGGTGGTCGAACAATCCAATCCAGAGAGAGGGTGGGGTGGGGGTGGGGAGAAAGACTGTCAAGTTGACACTATCTGAAAGCTTCTGAAAAGCTATTAGCACCCATAAATAATTGTTAGTCAAGTGACTGCATTGGTAATTATTTTTGTTGTTTTGCATAGGTTCTTTCCGGGGTCCAGTCCCGGGGGCCCAGGGGTTCCCAAAGGTGTGGACGGAGTCGGCAAAGAGTGTTTTACACGGAGACAGTGTTCAGAACTCTCTAGCTCTCTTTAGTCTCCGTGGATCTTCCTGTGCCTGGCTGAGGCCACAGAAAAGATCCCGAGGCAAGCTGAGCCTTTATTTTTATAGTCAGAGGTAAACAAGGTAGTGGTTACCAAAGTTACACTGTTCTTGTGAGTTTCACTTTTTTTGACCATAGTTACATGTTCTTGTGAGTTTCACTTGTTTTTGTTCTTGTTGCACTTCTCTCAGCCCATTAGCTTCCCAAGTAAGATCTAGGGAGGTCATAAGGTCAAGCCTAATTATGATTAAGAGGACTGTGCCCTCTAAGTTGTGACTTGTTTGTGACTTTGCCAACAGGTCAGTCCGAGGTTTAAAATAGTGGCTCCCCACAGGTTCTCTTTGCAGTTTCATAAAATACTCTGGGAAGATTACAAAGCATGATTTTATGTTAGTGTGATTTTATGCAGCCCAAATCCCATAGCCTTAAGCTCCACAAAGTAAACACTCTATAGAAAAGCAGAATGAAAATCACAGTAACTATTATTGCCATCATGATGACAATAGAGATCCTTGCAGGGAAGATGTCCTCATTCCCCTGGCCTCACAGGCCTTTTCTCCATGCTTCAGGGATAGCAGTTACAAGTACAAAACCAGCCTGTCAGTGGCTGTCAGGGGAGGAGAAAAAAATCCTATGGACACCATCCATTGACTATTATCTTTCTCAGTGCTTGAGGGATCCTTAAAACGGTAATAAAGCTTTCAGAATTACATTCCTTTGTCATCTTGCTAGTCATAAATGTGAAGGCCATAATGCAAGTGTCTCTTTCTGCTGGGCTCATCTTGCAGCTTGCTTATTTGTTTTCTCCAGTGGGTAGAGACCTCTCCAAGGGCCATTTCCCCACCTTCACCCTCTTAGGACCTGGCTCTAGCTAACTGACATAGGGAAGCGGAGGATAGAATATATAAAAATGCAAACCCAAGTATGTTTTTGGTTGCTCCCCACCCCCACCCCCCAGTAGCTTAATCAGCATTTCTAGGAAAGTAAGTGTTGCCTGTGTCAATATATTCAGGAACGTGTCTTAGAGGGTCAGTTAGGGCTGTCAGAGGATAGTTTTCCAAGAGTTAAATATGCAATTCTCATACCAAGTATAGGATGAAACATATGTGATTTTATTCAACTCATTAACTAATGAGGAAATGAGTAAGATGGTAATGGTATTCATAATTCACAAAGAAAGATATCCCAAAATAAGTCCCCTAAAAGATAAAACTGGTTAATGCCTTTAAGGACATTAAGCTATAGCTTTTGGGGTTATATATTTCTAAGCATTTTCTCTCTTTTCATCTTTATGTTTATTCTTTGTCTATTTCCACTTGACAGACGAGGTAACTGAGACCCAGAGAAGTTAAATAACTGGCTCAAAGTCAAGTCCTGGTGTTGAAATCCAAACCTAGAATGACCAACTCCATAATCCACCTTCAAGTACCACTTTTGCAGGTGAGGGTAGAGTAAACCCTTCCCATTAGTACAAAAATATCAACAATCACTTCCATGTATTCATCGCTTACTGTAAACCAGGCCTATGTTAACTACTATATATGTATTTCAGTTAATTATTCCAACTGCTCTCTGACGTAGGCACTGATATTCCCATTTTACAAAGCAGAAGGACAATATTCAAAAATGCTAGCAAGTCCTAACTGGTTTGGCTCAGTGGATAGAGCGTCAGCCTGCGGACTGAAGGGTCCCAGGTTTGATTCCGGTCAAGGACATGTACCTTGGTTGTGGGCACATCCGCAGTAGGCGACGTGCAGGAGGCAGCTTATTGATGTTTCTCTCTCGTCGATGTTTCTAACTCTCTATCCCTCTCCCTTCCTCTCTGTAAAAAATCAATAAAATATATTTTTTTAAAAATGCTAGCAAGTTGCCCAGACAGACTATTTGTGTCCAAATCAAAACTCCAACTCCAGTCTCCCTGGATCCAAAGCCCCTGAACTTAACCATTAGTACTTTACTTTCTCTAGAAGTCTAAATAAGTTTCTCAGGAAATAATTGTAAGGCACAGAGAGCCTGGCCCTGGTGAGATACTGAAAATGTTAGTGTGTGTCTGTGTGTGTGTGCGTGTGTGCTCATTGGGGGCCAGGTTTCTGGGGCCAGGGGAGTGGAGTAGGGTGGGCAAAGGCCGTGGGATATAATGACCCAAGAGAGCACAGTGCTCTGTAATAGCTCTGAATCCTTTCCTACATGGCTGAGAGGAAAGAGAAAGTGGGACAGACTCACCATGACACCCAAGAGCACCTCTCTTGGGAGGATATCCAGCACAGGCTGTGGGGAGGGGAGAATCGAGGAGGTACAGAGCTTAAGTTTGAAAGACGGTGCCAACTACCTCTAGCTACTTGGTAGCTTTGCCCCAGAAGTATTACTTACCCTTACCCCTAACTTTTCTGTGTGGAACAGGGGTGTCCACTAACCTGGAGTCAGTGCCCTAGAAGAAAAGGGGCAGGAGTGAGGAAGAGGATGAAATTGTCTCATGTAGTAAAATGTCTTAGCAGAATCTAGGGGTTGACTTTTTTTAAAAAAATGTAGAACAGATGGGACTGGTGAGATAGTCTGACAGCCATGAGGAGAAGCCAGAATCTTATAATCCTTGGTTTTACACACAGATGATACTTTCCCATGAGATTAATAGGAGACTTTGTTGGTCCCTGATGTACTGTATATTTTAGGCACTTTACACAATTTACATCTATATTTCATGAACAAATTTTCTCAGTTCCTTGTACATAGCAGGTGCTTTAGAAACAGGTATTGACTGCTCAAAAGCTTAGATTTGTGTGATTATGAGACAGGTTAGTAAGCCAGGACAAGTGGAAAAGGGACACTAAGAGAACTTATAAGTAGTTTACAGTTACTTAGTAAATAACAAAATTCTATCTTCCCTAACCAAGGACATTTAAGAGTAAATGTTTCACACTTCTCCTTTCCAACCACTGTAAATCCCCAACTCAGGGAGGTAGATAATAGAAATCCAATTAGTGCCATTTGTGCCAACCACACCCAAGGACAGATGAAGTCAGGGGAATAAATCTCATTTTGGTGCATCAGCATAAAGCTGATGAATGTTTTATTAAGACTCTCCCCTGAAGCACACCCATGCCTTTCTTCCCTCTCAGGAGTGCATCTTTACTTTTCTCTCCTAAACTCCAAGGGTTCCCATGAAATTTGCAACCAGGGGAGCAACAGGCAGCAGCAGCTTGTCCCGGGCTTACTCCCTGAACCTTTCTTTCTCCAAGGCCCCCTTTCTCTAACTTGTTAGTGAACTAAAAACAGCTCTGCCTTGGCTCGCTTCTGTCGCTGCCACTTTTACTTCTGAGTGAATTCATGAAGCCCAGCATGGCCCATTTCTTTCCTGTAACATTTCCAGGAAGCAAAAGCAGATCCCTGCCTAGGCTCTCCTCTGTTTCACTGTCCCCAGCTTTAATAAACATACTCTCAAAATCACCTGGACTCATGTGAAATCTTTCTTACAGGAAGTCAAGAACCCACACACTGGCCTGAGGCAGACTGGCTCCAGGCCCGGTCTCTTTCCCGTGATAATTAAACTGAATGTAACTGCCATGTCATTTCTCCGGAATGAACATCAAAGCAGAAGAGTGTTTGAAATTAAGTTAGCAGGACTCCTGTCCCAGAAAGAACCTGGACTCTGAAGCCACCAAGGAAATAAAGGGTTTACAGAGACTAACAGGACTTGTTTAGAGTCAGACCTGGGATCTACTTCAAGCCAGTCCCAGTGCCTACCTCCCAAGGTGATGCGGATGAGTGTAAACGAGTGTAAATGCAATGAGTGTAAAATTGGCTGAACTGGTGTGGAAAATTATAAGTATGGTCACCAATTCTTCTCATCCCTGTACACACACCCTTTGCAATGTGACTCTGTAGGCCCCCCACCCCTCACCCCCACCCCCATCTAGAGGTAGAGTCTGTTTCTCCACCCTTTAAATCCAGCTGATCTGCCAACTGACCCAAAATTTCTGAAAACAACAACAACAACAACACACACACACACACACCCCACACACACAACAAAAACCAGAAAAAAACCAATGAACAAAAACCAAACAAGAACTGCT